TTAATTTTTGGTGATTTTTTGAATTTTCTCTCATTGGAATGCATTGGACGGAAAGTTCAATGCATTCCAATGAGAGAAAATTCAAAAAATCACCAAAAATTAAAGACGACTCAGAACAACACCAAATTAAGTTTGCATAGGGTTCAGGAGGTGGGCTAACGATTGCAAGCATTTAAAACCTGTTCCAAACATTGTAAGACCCTTAAAAATGAGCGAAAACGGAAGATCTTCAAAAGCACTTAAGCCGGCTTCAGTGCTTTTGAAGTCCTTTCCGATGTCCCTTTTCGCTCATTTTTAAGTGTCCTACAATGTTTGGAACATGTTTTAAATGCTTGCAACCGTTAGCCCACCTCCTGAACCCTATGCAAACTTAATTTGTTGTTGTTCTGAGTCTTCGTTAATTTTTGGTGATTTTTTGTTTTCCCTATTTGAATGCATTGAACTGTCCATTCAGTTGATTTAAATGGGAAAAATAAAAAAATCACCAAAAATTAATGAAGACTCAGAACAAAACCAAATTAAGTTTGTACATGTTTCACAAGGTGCACTATGAAATCCAAGCATTTAAAACAGGTTTCAAACATTTTAAGACACTTTTAAATGAGCGAAAAGGGACATCGTTAAGTGAAATTCCCCCATAGAGAACATCGTTAAACGATGGGGGAAATTCCTCAAAAAAAACCCATCGCTGTGTGAATTCATCGTTGTATGAAGCAATCGTTGTGCGAGGCACCACTGTATTCCTAATTTATGAGATGGAAAAGTTTTGTCATACCTTACTACTTGAGTCATTATTTATTTATTTACATTTTTTTACCTCACCTTTCTCCTTGAAAAGGACCCAAGGCAGCTTACAACAGTGAAAGTCAATAAAGTTGAAAACAGGGAGTATGCAGTGGTGGTAAACATAATTAAAAGACTTTAAAGCTAACAACGAGTAAAGAGGCATCTTCCATCATTTCTGATCAAAACATTTATGTTGTAGTATTATCATGTACTTACTGTATGTGGTTACATTCCAGATCTATTATTTAGATTTTTTTATGTACTTTTGGGTTTCTGACATTAGCAATACAATGTTTTCTCCACTCATCCTCCTCACATTTGGCCATCCTACATTATTTGAGCATTAGCTTGGTGAAAGAAAATTAACTTCTTCATGTGCCTGGTATTTCTCACAGACACAACCCAGCCTGGTAGAGTACGATTACTGCTTTAAACAAAAAAATCAGAAAGTCTAAACTGGCATCTTAGCTAACTATAAACCAGTTCTAAACCATCCTGAAAAAGAATGCTTGTGCTGGATTCCAGTGTGATGTTTTTCCACAAACATATGCTTTCTTCAGCAGATGTTCAGTGGTAGCCATCCCTCTCTCCCTCCTGCAGCTGTCCCATATGTCCTCGAAGTCTCCTCCAGAGGTCTGGCAAGTCACCTAGGGAAGGTCTTGAACTGTGTGGAGAGCTTTGCTTGCTAAACAAGCACCACCTCTATATACAATTGTGAAAATAAAACAAAATCTCTCTGAGCCAGCCAGTTCGAGTATGGTTTCACTGGTGGGACAGGTCTGAGTCTGAGCCTGTGACTGAGTCCATGAAAGCTACCTGCACAGGGTGTAGAAAAACCAAGACCTGCCTTTGTGGCAGCCAGCAGGTTAGAAGAATTACTAGCTGGAAAACTGTTGGCATAAAAACACTGTACTGTATGCCTTTTTTTTTCCTCAGCCACTCATTTCAGTATGTATGTATGTATGTATGTATGTATGTATGTATGTATGTATGTATGTATTTATACAGCAGTAAAGATAAAAAGGAAAAGTAAGAAAAAAATCAAGAGTTGGCTGGAGGGAAGGCATGAATAAACAGCCATGTTTTTAACTGGGTTTTAAAGGTGCCCAGCGTGGGGGCCGCGCGAATTTCCAGTGGTCCTTTTTCTTATCAGTTTCGTATTATCAAGTAGACAGAAATTCACTAATTTTTGGTTTATTTTATAGGGAAGGTCTGTTTCTTTAACAACCTTTTACCGAACAGCAAGAAATATCATGAACATGTGCTTCAGCAAGGAGCCAACCGCAGCTGAAATAGAGGTGAGGAATCCTTTATGATAAGGGAACATCTGGAATAAGACGTGGCCCTCCCATTCCTGAGAACTCTGTCATCCATAAGTAGTGGGAATTGGTGGTGTGAATATAGGCCCATCCTTCGGGAATGTCCATATTTGAGCAGCTGTAGAAACAGAAGAAGGGAGGACTTGTGGAATTCAGGAGAAAAAGAAGGGCAGTCGTAGTTAGCAAAGAAGGAGAAGGACTTTTAAAAAGTATTGTGGGGCCATTTGTTGGAAAGAAGTATAGTAACTTAATCCTTTTTTGGAGAAAAAGTTTTCCTCTCCAGGCTGGTCCGCAAAGAATAAAATGGCACCCTTCACTTTAATTCTTTATATAGATGCCATCTGGATTGATTGGTTGACTCTTGCTTGAACACAGATGTTTGGATAGCATGCTTCAAAGTCCTGAGGGTAGCCAACTGATTTACAGCATACAGGCAGAGATTTTCTCTGTTTTATACACACCTTGTCAGTGTAGCACCTTGCCATTGATTTTTACACCTTGTCCTCTGCTTCCTGAGGTAGCTAGCTCACTGAGTACTGGCTGGTTTTTGCTGTTCCTTGGGGGGGCATTGTTCATAATTTATTTTTGTATCAGTAAACAAAACCCCTACTAAGCTGAGAAGTTGCCTCAGCTCTGGTAGCTGTAGCTGGGGTGGACTGCTTAGTAAGATATATGACTTCCTAGAAAAAGCTAGGCCCTGGATAGAGGGCTAAAAGAGTTACATGTGAACCAACCCTTTGTTCAGAAGAGACCAAATTAGTATCCATACTGAGGAGAAGAAATTCTCAGGAAGTTCTGCACAACCATTTATGAAAGATTTCCCTTTGCAGAAGCATACTAATTCTTTCTGAACAAGTCACATTTTGGTAATTGTAGCTTTAATAATGCAAGAGCGCACAATTTTCCAAGGCCTGGTAATCATACGGTGATTGCCAGCAAAGAAATTACTGTTATTATTCAGAAGAGCTAGGCAACAGAAAGGTAAATAAGAAACTAATTCCCCTCCCCATCTCCATTTTTTGCTCAGTTAATTCACTAGTGCATTTTGAAATATTGGGTGCCCAATTTCTAAAGAAAAAGAACTTGCTGAGATCATTGCTGAGGAAAAAATGAGGGGGAACAGGTTACTTGAGAGGTTATACTCAACACTTACTTAAACATCTGTTAAAATCCAATGTGGTTTTTTTAACAGCAAGAATATTGGAGGTTAGTGGAACAGAAGGATTGCCATGTAGCAGTGCACTGTGGGAAAGTGGACACCAACACCCATGGGAGTGGCTTTCCTGTGGGAAAATCAGAACCGTTCTCAAGGTAAAACATGGGTAGTGTCATCTGAAGTTCTTCCGATTTTTACCTCCATTCTTATGCAGCTATAATGTTGCTTTACATTATTTGCACTTCATTTCACTGTTTGTGCTTGCCGGGACCCCAAGTGAGAAGTGGCACTTGTAATGGTGCAGACTTTATAGAAATGCAGTGCAATTGTACCTTTTTAAATTATACGTTGTGGCTTTTTAATCTTTACGTTCTCAGGTGTGACAAGGAACCTTCTTAAGGTGGCATGGGCAGTTGCTACAGGAGTCTACTCTTCCTTCCTTCCTTCCTTCCTTCGCAGGAGTCTACTCTTCCTTCCCTCCTTCCTTCCTCCCTTCCTTCCTTCAATCCCATTCATGTTCATTACTTATGAACAGTGTCTTCAGCCACCCCAGCTGAGACAGTATGGACATCTGTATAGAATGCCTGAGTGGTGCAACCTCTTGGGTCTTTACTTGCTTTTTGACTCCAGCTCTCCAAATCCCAGACCAGGCTGCAAGGCACTTCTAGGAGTGGAGTGGAAATTTCAGCAACATCCAGGGACCCGTGTTTATGAGCCACTGACCTACATGGGCCTTCTTGTTCTATGCCCAAATATATGGATTTCCCTTGTTCACAATTGCAGGTTGAATGTAGTGGCTGTGAAGAGACAAAAGTTGATCATCGCCAAATGGTTCTTTTCTGCAGGGTTGTGGAGTAGCTGGGCTTCCCTTCAATTGTGAGGTTGTGGCTCTACTAGCCTTTGAAGTAATTCCATTTATTTTAAAACCCAGTCAGTTGAGAGCCGGGCATCACATGTCACTGGGAAGCAGCCACAGAACTGAGCAGAAGCTGCTCAATGTTTTCACCATTTAATTTGATTAATCGTTTCATTTACAAAGAATTAATGAAATTAAACAAGAAATGTAAGCTCTTGTCAGTTTTGCCTAGTGCCTTTTGTAGGATTAGCTAGAACACTGAAAGGTTGGAGTGGATTTATTGAGCAACTAGATAGAATACTGGCTGCACATTTTTCTGTATAAGAAAAAGGACTAGAGATTTACTAGCAACAGTAAGAACAGCAGCCTCTGCCAGAAGCTGGTAAATCAGGAAGGGGGCCTGGAATATTCTTCAGGGCCTGTTAACCTTCCCCTTTCTTTGCTGCAGCAGTACAGAATCCTTCTCAGCAATGCAGAATCCTTAGCAAACAGGTAGATAAACAGGTGGATGTCATTTAATGCTTATTTGTTACTGTCTATACCACTTAATTTGTACAGGCATGGATGGAACCTAACAGTCCTTCCTAATAACACGGGATCCATCCTGCGACATCTTGGTGCTGTGCCTGGTAAGGCAACATATTTCTTCCACATTTAATAGACTTTCCTTTTTCGTAGAATTCAGAAAGAGTGTTGAGTAAATCATGGGAGAAGTTGCCACTTCCTTGAAGCCTGGCATCTAAGCCACCTATTTAAAAATGAATTAATATTCAGTAAGCTTCATATCATGGCATTATTTATTATCTTGTTTGTGACTCTCCTGGCCAATGACCCCCTCAATCTGTTCAGCACAGATGGATGCACTTCTTTCCTAGTGAGGCTGGGGAAGGTGTGTGCGTATACGTTTGTGTGTGTTACAATGCACACACAGCAACTCAGCTCAGCCTCTTGCAGAAGAAAGGTGAAAGGAAGGTGGCTGACAGTCATGTAATCCAGACTGTGTACTTCAGGGAATTTACTTCTCCTAGTTGTAGCGTGTTTGTTCATTGTTATTCAGTACATTTGTGCTAATGTTTTGTGTCAGTATGCTGAATGATCAGCACATGTAAGTTCATTATTTTTAGTCTCATGGGAGCACTGCAGTGCCAGTAAATACAGATTTTGATTTTATTTTATTGGGTTCTTTATGAAAGCTTTTCAGTGACTTCTAGTTGACAATGGCTGCTGGGGACCAACAGTTGTATTTCAGAAAGTTGAAGGCCGCTTATGGGAAAGCTATTGTTGTCTGACCGCCCTCTCTCATCATGTTGGCTTTGCAGGTTTTTTAAGTGTTATAAATACCTGGGGGCAGAACTAATAATAGGATGGATATGAGTACCTGTCTTACCATTTTCAACAATATGGGAGGAAAATATAGTCTTACCCCAGACAGAAGATCGTGGAAAACAACTTGTGCTCATTGTATGAACAGATTAACACACACACTCAGCTGCTGGATTTAAAGAAAGCTGAATTTATAGTTGTCTGTTTGCTGGCCTGCCAGCATATGGAAGAGTATGGCTGAGAGATGAGAAATGTGTCTGTCTGACTGTCTGACCAATCAGATCAAGGACACACATTGATCTGATACCTGTCAAGTGTGTGTGTGATTTTTTTTTTAACTGAAGGTGTATGTCTTTAACTACTTTGTTTCTAATTTAAATTTACTGCTTTAGGAGTGACAATTCCATGGCTAAATATTGGCATGGTCTTTTCTACCTCATGCTGGTCTCGAGACCAAAATCACCTTCCATATATTGACTACTTACACACTGGTGCTGATTGCATTTGGTAAGTAAGGAAGCCGCAAGTTCACCTCTTTGCTCCTCTGGTCTGTTGCTCTCAGAATTCTTCCTCTGTTGCTTGAGAGAGAGGTGAAAGCAAATGTTCTTTCCAAGACTGATGCCGTCGCTTACGCATGTTATTTTTATACTCCACTGTTGTAGCTAATGGTATTCCAGAGCTGCCCAAATGCTGCTTTCACCCAGAGGTGAAAAGAAACACCTTCCAGGTGTTTTAGACCAGAGGTCGTCAACCCCCAGTATGCAGCCTGGTGCCGATCTGTGGCCTGAGCTGGACCGGGTGGCGGAGACAGTCCTCCCGACCTCTCTGCATGCACTGCCCTCCACACAGCTGCTTTGCGCACACACACGCATGCCGGCACCGGAGTGAGCGCTCCCCCACCCGTTCACACATGTGCCTGTGTGGCCGTGCAGGCACTCCTGCGCATGCGCGAAGGGGTGGGAGAATGCTCACGCCGGGGTGGGCAGGTACATCCATCCCAGTTCATCTCTGTCTCCAGATGACTTAATCTTTCTGGGAGCTCCAGATTGGCTGCTCTAGGAATCACTGTTTTTCCTTCTCTAGCAGTTTGCCTCTTCTTGCATCTGCTGTGTATTTGGTCCTCTCAACGAGATTTGCAAACTCATGCCCTCTCCCCCTAGATCCTACTTGCTATTTACTTTCCATTTGTCAGTATTAAAATTTTTTTTAAAAAAAAGCCTTCCTTTCCCACCATTGGCTCCCCCCCCCCCCCC